TTTTGTTTTTTGTTGACCTAATGTGGTATCGTGTATTTAGTCAGCCAGTCAAGAAACATTTATTAAATGGCTACTATGTGCTAGGCACTATGCTAAGCACTAGGGATACAAAGAATGAGAAGATGGAGTCTTAAGGAGCTCACACAATGAGGGAGAAAATATGCCAACGACTAAGCACAAAGTATATATAGGATAAATTGGAGATAATCAACAGAAAGAAGGCACTAGAATTAAGGGGTTTTGGGAAAGGCTTCCTGTAGAAGGTGGGATTTTTGCTAGGACTTGAAGAAAGCCAAGATAACCAGGAGGTAGAGATGAGAAGGGAGAAAATTCCAGGCCTGGGGGAGAGTCAGGGAAAACGCAAGAATCTAGAGATATAGTGTCCTGTGTCACTGGATTACAGGCTACTGCAACTATTCAGTGGTGAGATGATAAGGGCCTGTGCCAGAGTGCTGGCAGTGTCAGAGGAAAGAAGGAAGCCTATAAAGCAAACGTTATAAAGGTAAAAATCAACAGGTCTTGGCAACAGATTGGATGTGGAGGAGTAAGAGAGTGAGGAGTTGGGGGCGGATGGTGACATCTTAGTTGTGAGCATGGGTGACTCGGAGGATGGCTGTAATAGGGAAGAGGGGAGGGTTTTGGGGGAAAGATAATGAGTTCAGTTTTGCATATATTGAGGTTAAGATGTCCATGGGATATTCAGTTAGAGATATCTAACAGGCAGTTGGATATATGAGACTGAGGTCAGCAGAGAGATTGGGGTTGGATAAGTAGATCTGAGAATCATCAATTTTGAGATAATTGAATCCATGGGAATTGGTGGCAGAACCAAGATAGAGCAGGGTGACAAAAACCTAGAGAGAAGAGAACTGGGGAATAAAAAAAGATGGTCATTAATTGGGAAATGGTACAAACTATGGTACATCTGTGTAACAGAATATTAATATGTTGCAAAAAATGATGAATACAGAGAAGGATGGAAAGACTCATATGAACTGATGCAAGAGTTAAATAAACAGAGTCAAGAAAAGAATATCTACAATGATTGAAACAATGTAAATAGAAAGAAAAACCACCATAAAACTGAAAGTGATTGTTGCAAAATTACAAGCATTACAAACTTAGGAAGAACAAACAACTGTGGCCCCAAAGAAGAGATAAAAGAAAACGCCTCCCCCCTACTCCTTGGTGGAGGTGGGAAGTCCTTAGGTGTGGAACATCATATGTATTTTCAGACCTTTACAATGCATTGATCAATTTTGCTGCCTTTTCCTTTTTTTTTTCTTTAAAAAAATAATCCAGGGGCAGCTAGGTGGCGCAATAGATAGAGCATGAGCCCTCAAATCCGACCTCCGACACTTGACACTTATTAGCTATGTGACCTTGGGCAAGTCACTTAACCCCATTGCCTAGAAAAAACAAAAACAAAACAAAACAAAAATCCTTGTTACACAGAATGACTAGAGGAAGGTGGGGGTAGAGAAAGGGGGAAATTTAGGCAATGCTAAAAAAAAAAGCAATAAAAATTTGTTTAAAAATGTATAGTTCACTGTTTCTACCCCCATGGAACTTACAATTTAGTAGAAGTGAATGAAAAACTTTAAGTTCTGCAAAGTTGTCTCAACAGTTCAACTATATCTATTTTTCAGGTAAGGCAGTTCTATCCTTTCTTGTCTCATACTTGTCCAGAGCAGTATCTTACTTAAAATCATGTTTTATTTCCTTATATGCTCTCTGTTCAGAATTTTCTTCTCTAGTCTAAATAATTCAAATTATTTTGGTATGCTTGACAAACTATTTTCTTAAGTTCTGAAAGAAACCAAACAAGTTTACTTAGCTTGAAGAGGTGTGGGGGAGGAAAAATCTAGCAAAATGGCTGGACTGGATCCAGGTGTTAACATTTGACAATCTTATAGTTTTTTATATTCAAAACACCTAAGGTGTGATAATGAAACTATGGGGCACAGATTTATTTTCAGCACTCTAGTTTTTTTAGTGCGTCTTAAATAAACCAAGCTGGCAGCACAGATTTTTTTTTTAAACACAGTTAACATTTTGGCAATAGGTGGACACTGACTGTAATGCTGCCAGAAATAACAAAAGCCTGTTACTAAGTGTAAGTGTATGCTGTGAAATTCTCAATGTCAGCACCCAGAAGCTCGACTGAGTATTCATATTTTGGTTGGCCTAGAAGTGCAACGAAAGCACGATGCACTGCTGTGGGAGAGAATGGATTATCAGGACTTTTGTGGGATTTCTGCTGGTATTTTGTGGTATAAAAGTTGAAAAAACTTCTCTAAAATTCCCTTCAGGCTGATCAACAAAGTGGTCATTTCAACAGCCCTAGAACAAGTAGAGTAAAATCTTTATTATCTGAAGGGTATATGTATTTAGCTATTATTTCCAAAGATTTGGAAATACATTTTTTCCATCTCTTTCTATTCAGAGGAACTACAGTTTAAAAAAAAACTCTAAACTTAATAGAAACACAATTTTACACTAAGAAAGCTATACTTCAATGTTTTAAAAGACAGGTCTTCACTGATATGCGTACTCTCCTCCACCAACACTGGTTTCAACCACTTTAAGCCTTAGTAAACAGTATTCCTGAGTTGTTGTTCAGTTGTTTCAGTCATATCCAACTCTTCATGACCCCCTTTGGGGTTTTCTTGGCAAAGATACTGGAGTGGTTTGCCATTTCCTTCTCCAGCTCATCTTACAGATGGGGAATCTGAGGGAAACAGGATTAAATGACTTGTCCAGGGTCACACAGCTAGTAAGTGTCTGAGGATGGATTTGAACTCAGGTCTTCCTGTCTCCAGCTCTGGCACGCTATCCAGTGGGCCACCTAGCTGCCCCACTCAAGAGTAGCTATGACCAAAAAAGATTCATCCCTTGGGGGCCTGCCTTCTAATGATGGGCCTCTATGCCCACCATGACTGCTGTGACATATTTCTGTAATGTCTGGTTTGCGTGATCCTGTCTATGATGTATATAGAGTGTGTTTGGATTTTTGTAACATAGGATTTTTGTAACTGAAAATGCTATTGACTTGACTTTCTCCTTTAGAGTAAAAGATAATATCAGATAATGGATCTATATATACAGAGCTATCCATACCTATACTGAGGAGCTAAGCCCTTTTCTCCTTAATATTAAGATCCTGAAATTTATTATCA